TCTTCGATTTTTCATTTTTTACGGTTTTCTCTGACCCTATATATATAGGGTTGGGTTCACGTGAGACCAAGAGTTTTTTGTGAGACCAAGGGTTTTTTGTGAGACTCGTAAGATCAATTTATGTTCATTGATCAACTTTATAAGCTAATGATCTAGTGGTTTAAAGTTGTACAGTGGCAATTTTATGATTATTGAGAAGTCTCGTGACAATTTTGTGATTATGAATGTTTAGTATTGTAGATCTATTCTAAGGGTTGAAAATTGGTCTTACGAGTCTCACGAAAAACCCTTGGTCGCACATGATCCCAAGTCTCTCTCTCTCTCTCTCTCTCTCTCTATATATATATATATATATATACACACACACACACACACACGCATAAGACGTTTCAAATGCAACTCATCGTATTTGTACAATCAATACAATCCAATCAATTGAGATATTTATGGAAATTATGAGAGTTTATTATTATGATTTGAATATTTATGGAAGATGACTAAGTTTCATTAATTATGATCAATACTTTATATTAGAAAATAATCAAAACAATGAAATCACATATTCATGAAATTAAATAGACGGTTGAGATTAAGTTGTATTGGTTATACAAATGTAAATGGTTGCATAATAACTCAACTCTCTCTCTCTCTCTCTATATATATATATATACACACACACACACATTTAGTAAATTATTTAAATTACTATTTTCAATAATCGTTATATTAAAGTGGTGCCTGATTGGTTTGAACTTGGCTCCAAAGGTCAAAAGTACCCGGGAGGTCCCAAGTTCAAATCCAATGAGAAATAAAAATCCTCTTATGAACCACAAGGGTGATGTCTAATTGGTTTGAGTTTGGCTCCAAAGGTCAAAAGTACCAGGATGTCTCGGTTTCAAATTCAAGAAGGAATAAAAATCCCCTTGTGGCCACGGAGGTTCAAATGCGGTGACTCCGAGCTATCTGCAAAGCAGGTGGTCGCCCTGGGATTAGTCGATTCGCATATACTTGAATAATTGATTTTGTAAAATCATTAGTTCAGTTGTTATCTATCAAACGTATATCATGGTGACTCCTAATGTTGTTTTTCATCAATGGGTGCATTGATCACATGATGTAAACACAATACTTCTATTGTAATTGATCACGTATTTATCACAGTGACTCCCAACTCTGCTTTCGTATCACAGAGTTTATTCACAACTGATTTTGTATCACATATTTATCACAATGCCTCCCCATAGTGATTTTATTTCATTGGGTGCCTTTGAATAACCGATTTTGGAAATCCCATTACATTTATTGTTTTGTATCACGTGTTTATCACATTGACTCCTAACACTCTTTTTGCATCAATGTCCATATCGAGGAGTAGTGATGGCCAAATCGGCCCTACCCGGGACCGCCGGAGGACCGGGACTGGGACCGGGACCGGTAAGGACCGGTTATGGGACCGAAAACCGGGACCGGTTGGGGTTTTTGGAAGTTTCGTGGGACCGGGACCGACCGGGTCAGGTTATGGGACCGGCCCGACCCGAAAATTAAAATAATTTTATAAATAAATGTATTTTTAAATAATTTTATAATGTATTTTTATAAGACAATGTAATTTTAATCATTTAAAAAAATTTTAAAGTGTATTTGAGTGACCCAATTATAAATTTTATAATGTATTAAAAATATATATCATTAAAAAAAATCTTACTTTTTACCCATAACCGGTTATGAAGTACCTTGACCGGTCCTACCATTTTCGACCGGGACCGGGACCGGTTATGGTCGGTTATGAGAAAGCTTGAGACCGATTAGGATCGGCCCGGTCCGGCCCGGCCCGGCTCGGGACCGGTTTTTGGCGATCACTACCGAGGAGATATTGTTTTGTATCACATATTATTCTTGTAATTAGTGTTGGATTTATGTACAGAAAACAAGACTTTTCAGTACTAACTATATTACTAATTACACATATATTACTAACACCCTTTTAGTTTTTTTTTGGTTGATCTATTTTTACTAACATAAAATATACACCTTAATAACCATTTATCTAGACAGTAATATACATGTGCACATAAGTAATTTGTAAGCAATTTGCCCGATATGTGCACCTGCATAGATACCAAGAAACAACTTCAATTACTTGTATACGTATACCGTCCCGATGAATGATTACCAAAGTATTCCTCAATTTTTCATTTTTTTAGGAGTTTTCCAGAACCTCCTTGTATATATCATTTGATTGATACTCGACTTTTTTCTATTTTTTTTGCTTGATGCAAATCCGTCTACAAACAATTCAAAGAGAAGGGTTTGATGCAAATCGATATTCATACCAACCACACCAAAAACCACAACCACCCCCGAAGACAAAGAGGAACAAAGAACGAAAACCAGATTCGAGGAGAGGGGACGGGTCTTAGTAAGGAAGTGGGATCTCGAATTGTAAGAAAATATATAAAATTGTAAAAAGAAGACGAAAATGACGTGAAAAATAAAGTTGAGTAAAACGAAATTTGAAGCAATGACTTGATTCAGAAAACACAAATTGTAGATAAAAATGGTCTGGTTACTATTAGTTAGGGATCGGGACTGATTTGACTTACAACCAGGCGCGATCAAGACTGCAAAACAACCAAACAAACACGAAAGGGAGTCTTGTTCTTGTTCGTTCAACTTAACCAAACAAATGAACTAACACAAACGGTAATGGTTTTTTTTTTTTTTTTGTGTTCATGTTTGTCAATTAAGAATACGGGTTTCATTCGTGTTCGTTTATTAAGATGATAAACGAACATGAACGAATGGATGTAAACAAACATAAATGAACATAAGAAACTACCATTACATCATCTTGTTTCTCTTGAAAGCTGTAAAATTTAGTAGGGGTTTGTAGAAAGTCATCCGATCCACTATCAACCAACCGACCATAATATCCAATTGTAATTGGATTGGATCATATCCAAAATTTCAACATCCAAATAGTATCGGTTGGTTCTTGGATGGCAGTCCAACATCCAATAAAACCTAACCGATTCAATACAATGACCACCCAAATCCCTATCCAATGATCATCCAATTACCGTCCAATTGACATCCAATTAATAACTATATATAATCATTATACACCATGCTTTTTAATAACTTAAGAAAATATACGAATAATTGGTTGAGTATCGGATCGAAGGATTGGATGAATCAAATACGATCCAATTGATAACCAAAAGTAATATCAATTATGATGGAACCGATCCGGACCAATCATCTAATGGATTTGGATTGGATCTGAGTCTAATGTTAATCGGATTGGATAGGATGACAAAATCTAACATCTAATGGATGATCGAATCGGATCGGATCCACCTAAATCCATTGGATCTCAACCGCTGAACACCCCTAAAATTTAGTTTGTCATCAGTAACTATTCTGCATAATCACCAATTCCCCATAATAAAAGAATAAAAACAGTTAATATGATATATATCATGTACTTGATAGGCTTGGGATCATGTAAGACTAAGGGGCTGTTTGTTTACGTCTGAATGATACCATTAAGACTTTAAGGTCTGATTCGGTCAGACATTTTCTTGTTTGGATAGGTTTTTAAAAAGGTCTGAATGAAAACTTTACATCTGATTCGCTCCTTCACCCTCTAGCCCTCCATACGATTCAGATGTCATATTTTTCCAGGTTTACCCTCCCTTTTTTCTCTAATCGTCGTTCTATTCTTCTTCATCAGTCCATATGACGCTTGTTCTTCTTCATCTGTAGGAATCGCCAGCAACCCTCGTCGTTCTCTTCTTCTTCATCAGTCACCAGTCTCGCTTGGTCACAAACAGCCCCTATAGCTGTGTTTGGCCCTGTTTTTCAACAGATTTTTGGCCACTGTGTTTGGCCCTGTTTTTTACATTCAAATAGTAGCCAAAGCAAATGGTCAAAAGGGAGAAGAAATAGATTCAACAAAAGGGAGAAGAAAAAGAAAACCTCATGAGTTCTAAATAGAAAAAGCATTTTAACAAACCTGCAGATGCTTCTTCTAGGTTGATGGAGAAACCACTTTTGAGATGACAATTTGGAGTTAAAACAATCCATGGTTTTATGTATTCCCTCCCACGGTTTTGGTACAATTTGAGTAATATTATAATATTGATGACATTGGAGGTGGGGTGCTTGGAATGAACTTCACATTTACCAAAAACAAGAGGTTGGGTATTAAAATTATATGGTGGATAAAGAATGTGTATTTATTTTTTTGTTGGGTATAAGAATTATATGGTGGACCATTAATTATTTTTTATTTTTTATTTAGAAATTTCTTTCAGAATTGTTGTTAAACGTTAATTTTTATTAAACATAAGACTGAGGGTAAAATGGTAATTTTATGTCATTCAGACAGTTGATTCAGAACAGTTTCCAAACAACCTTTTTTTATCTGACACTAAATCATACAGAGTCTCTTAATCATTCTGACCACTTAATCATACTGCACTAAACCATTCAGCAACTGCCAAACAGCCCCTAAGGGTTTTTCGTGAGACCAAGGGTTTTTCGTGAGACCCGTAACATCAATTCTCAATCATTGGATTAGATCTACAATCTGAACATTCATAATCACAAAATTGCCACGAGACTTCTCAATAATCACAAAATTCCCACCATACAACTTTATACCGTTAGATCATTAGCTTATAAAATTGATCAATGAACATAAAATGGTCTTAACAATTTTCATAAAAAACCCTTGATCTCACATGAACCCAACTCGTACTTGATATATGATAATGTGATTATTTAAAACTTGAAAGGTTCTGAAACCCTAAATAAAGGGCCACGGTCTACAATCATGTAACTAGGTTAGAAATTCAATAGATGGACTGTAATTGGGTTGGGCCCTTTTATTTTTTAAGCCCAACCGGAAGCCCACGGTACTATATCTATCATGTATAAAGGGCTGTTGAATCAAATCATTTCCCCAAATTAAACGGCACCAAAGAGGAACTAAAGCAGGGGCGGGACTCAAGAAGAAGCGAAGAATCATCATTCATCCATCTCACGTAGGAGGTATTTCAGCTTTATTTTATGTAATCTTCAACCTTGCTGCTATAAAACATGTTTTAATGGAGTTTCGAACCAAATTCTAGGTCAAAACTTGTATCCCTGTGCTGTAGAAATGTTTGTATGCGAGTTTGGGACCTGATTTTTAGGAGGTTTGTCTGAGGGGTCTTTTGAGTATTTAGGGACAAAAGTGAAAGAGCAGTACATGATTCTCAACTAGAGTATCAAACATTGGAATCCAACTACATATAAAACAAAATTCGAAATCAAACGTGAAGATAGGGTCATTTCTATTGGCAAGAACAGAGAACTAATAAGGACCATGTTGGACAAGAAAGGGTAAGGCATGATTGATGTTTCCGTTTGTAGAGATGATCAGGGGTTGGAGCATTAGGGCAGTGAAGAAGGAGAGGTTATTTATGGGCAGGCTAAAGGAAACATATGGCGGACGGTTTTGGTTGATAAAGGCATCTTTATAACTTATAAGCATTCTTTTTGAGGATTCAATTTTTTTTTTGTTTTAGAGTTATAATATGTTATAACTTTTGATATTTTTAAATATACATCTATTACATGGAGCCAAATTTAAATTTGTCTATATGACACATTTGTATAAAAGATTTTGGCCCCTGGGTTTGTTCCCCCCTGATGCAATATGTAGATTGGCTGACAATTAATTTGTGCACTGTTTTCAACTTCTTCCCTTTCCTTAGATTGATCACTGAACAGATTTTGCATCATCTGATGCCTTTTCTCTTGGATAACCAGTTTTCTTCTCTGTGCAAATCGCCAAGGCATCTATATGGGTATAATGTAACAACTGAAGAAACTTGACACACAACACATGCCTTTTTATAACCAAACATACCAACGTATGCAGTTCAATAATCTAAATTACAAAATCTCTGGTGTAATTGCACCAAAATAGACCAATTTTGAGTTCATTCCTATATTGGAAACCAACTTTCAGAACCTCTGTTTTGGGAAACAAACTTTGCAAACAATTTAGGGGCATTATGACTTGCAAGTAGTTGGAAAAAAGAATGTTTTAGTTTAGCACATAGTTTATTAAAAAAGTTCAATTGATCAAATGCATGGTTTTAGAAAGAGCATGAGGCGTACGCCTTGAGGCGAGGCGCTGGAAAATTGAGTCTGAGGCGGCTCCTCTCTCAGTCTCTTGGGCTAGTTGAGTCATACACCTCAAGCCACTGAGCCAGGCCTTGAGGCGGTGGGCGCGAGACCGAGGTGGGGGTTAGAAATTAGGGTTTAAAAATTGACTTAGGGGCCGTTTACCAACACTTACCCGGTTAAGTTCTTACTGGCGAAATTCAACACTATCACTTACTTACTGGGTAAGATTTTAGTCCACCAAAATGGTATCGTATGCAACAATTTACCAGGTAAGCACTAACCGTGGTAAGAGTCGTCGCCCTCACTTACCAAGTAAGATTTTCGGTCCTTGCCTTCGCTCTTACCGTGTAAGATTCTTGGTCCTTGCCATATTCATCCGGTAAGGTAATGCGACTTGGTAAGCACTTAACACGTTTGGTAAACGTCCCTTTACTGATTTTACTCTCTATAAAATAAGCACATTCTCTTGCTCGTCTTCGTCTACTCTCTTGTTGCTTGTGGTTTTTATTTGTCTTCTCCAACGTCTTCACCAGTCTCCCAGTTTGAAGAGCATTACGTGTGTGTGTGTGTGTATATATATATATATATTATTTCCCACTTCTCCAATTTCCCACTTTGAAGAGTATAAAGTAGATATATATGTATTTTAATTCTTCTTCAGTCTCCCACTTTGCATATATTTAGTGTATATATTGTATTATACATAATAAGCCTCAAGGCTTGATTCCGCTTTTGAAAACCTTGATCAAATGTATCAAAAGCCCCTTTTAGAGAAAATAACATGATGGGTGCTAAATATAATTCAAATAAATATGATTCGGAATTATTTAATTAGAATTGGTTCTGTTTTGAAGTTTATGAGGTTTTATCATTTTTGTAGAAATTTTCAAATCTTAACAGGAATAATTAAAGAAAAAAGATAATCACATGCAACCGTCTGACCAATTATAATCAAGGTTTTAAAAGGCGGAATCGGGCCTCGAGGCGTTTTCCCTCAATGAGGAGAGGCACAAGCCACAAGGCGGTCCGAGATGTAACCCCAGGATGAAAATATATACACACCAAAATAAGTATATATAGTACACAAATACATATACATTTATATACAATATATATAATACTAAATTACTAAGAGGCGTTGGTTAAGTGGTTCTTGACAAAGGAAAGAGTGAAACGGTGAGATAGGCAGGGAGGGTGTGGGAAAATTGGTTGCTTGGAGGAAGAGGAAGGGTCAAACCACACTATTTGATTGGGAGGAGAAAGTACTAGTTTTTTGGGTTTTAAAATATTAAAAGTACACATTGGGGCCATTGGGCTTCGACTTTTAATTTAAAAAAAAGACACACTATAAAGAGAAGTACTACTACCGCCATAAAGCTTATAAAAAGCCAAAAAGACCATTACCAAAGCAGATCATCTAAGGCGATACCTCGACAGTGCCTCACACCTCATTGAACCTCCTCATCAAACCAAGGTGCAAGGCTCGTCTAGGGTCCAAGAGGTGCCGCCTCAGGTGCAGTTTTGAGCTGCCTCTCTTCGAGGCGTAAGCCTCAAAAGATTTTTAAAACCATGATTATAATACATAAGAAATATATAATTGTATATTATTTTAACAGTTCAGATTCAATCTCACTGAAATCCAACGGTCAAAAGACAATGCCACACCATCATTTCCCTCTCATGCATGCTTCGTTGGTAACAAGGATTTTTATTTGGAATTTTGAGGGGAAAATAACAGAGGATATTTTCTGTATTAATTGTGAATTTGCTTTGACGATCTAAATTTACAGACAATATAGGATGCTCAAAACAAATTTTACTCCTGACAATAATCAATGCTGATTCGTTGAGTTACAATTTAGAAGAATGTTTATCCAGAATTGAACGTAGATCCAATGTTGTTGTCATTTTGTTCTTGTGCTGTCCTGCACTAAGCTTCGGTTTTTCTTTTTTATGCTATATAGCCCTTTACCAGACTATAACAATAAGCTACTCTAGAGATTCCTGCAATGTTTAACGTGCAAGTTTGGCATTGGCTTACTTACTAAGAGGCATATTGGATAAAAAATGCAGAACACTACTTCTAGATGGGCCATCATAATATGAAGGCTTACCAGAAATTTAGGAACCATTGATTCAGTTGTCATGTGTCTAGTGCTTACATGATACCTTTTATAGCTTATGCTAGGCCCTTCAAGCGGTTGTTAGGCTGCCAAGGTAATTTCGTGACTGAAGCTGTTAAGCTGTCATCAAATGTGGAACTTGATGCGTTAGGGAGATAATATAGTCCTACCGAATTTTAGGTGTCATGGTCAAATAGCCTGGACCCATTCATGCAGCTCTTAGAAAACATGACTTTTGTTCTGAGGAAGGATTTCATTCATATATTATTTGGCTTATGAAAACCATGATCTAGTTGTCTACTTGACTGATATACCAGAACCCCATTTCTCCCACCAACACATACATGGGTGCAGTTTGAGTGGAGCTCAAAAAGTTATTCAAATTTGAAGGTACAACAATTTTTTCTCATTACTGCCATCACCCATATTGATAATTTAAAGTCCACCATTAGGAATTGAACCTCACTTATGCTTCTTTGTCTCCGTCAACGAACATATTCTCTGAGTTTGTCACAATAGTTGAAGTCTTGTTCTAGTGCTTTCATGTTTTGTCTTATGTTGCCACCTCAGTTGTCCTTGAGTTTAACCACAACATTGTGGCTTGCAGTATCTTTCTATATTCGTTAGGATACAAGACCTTGAGAGCATCTCCAACTACTTCAAAATGGAGAAAATGGGGATTTTGGGCCAATACTCCAACAGCTTCCCCAAAACTATCTCCAAAATGGATGAAGTAGGAGAGAGAAGGGTTTTTTCTCCAAATTCAGAGAACACCCCAAAAATGATTACCAATTGAGACTATCAATAGGAAACTTTGAAAATAAATATTTAGAGAGAGAATATTTTAATAGATAATGGAATGTTCTAATATTATAATCAATGTTGGATTCTCCAAAATGGGGAATCTGTTGGAGATGAATGTACTTTTTTTTTTGTTTTTTATTTTTGTTTCTCCATTTTGGAGAATCTGTTAGAGATGCTCTGCAGCTCTGACATCAAAATCTTCAAAAATTGAGATTAAAACACCAAGTGTCCCTGGTACCGGAAGTTCGTTGCTGAAAGATGGGACCAGTCTGGACTTCTGTTTGACGGATCAATTGTAAATTAGTAATTCTTGCGGAAGCTTCCCTCTTATACAGCAACTATAACAGAGATGATTCAACTTCTTACCATGCACCATCAACAGATTGATTTTTAGCTGATCAATACACTTCATTTTGAAGTTGGAAGTTTAAATGGATAATGCTCCATATGTTATAGAATGACATTAGTAGTGCAAACGTTATGTGGATATCTTATATGTATTGCTTCTGGCATCTTTGATGCACATACACTGTGACCGCCATAATTATTACTTCTCTTTCGTATTGATTATAGTAATTTTGATTGTTTAGGAGATTCAAAATGCTTTATCCATTTGTAGTACAATATAGCATATCGTATAGGATTACCTGTTCAGAAGAAACTAAAAGTCTGTGTTTAGTGGTTCGTACAAACTCTAGTCTGATACTCTGACGCCTCTTTTAACACTACACAATAAAAGAAAGTAAAAATATTGTGATACTTCTTTTCTTATAAGGCCTTTTGTATTTATCTTTATTATGTATTGTAATGGACGATTCCGTTGGTTATAATCTGAAAAAAGGTCAATTTCTTGTTAAGATGTGAATAGCCTCCATCACATCTCTCTTTTTATCACTTTATCACACATGCTCACTCTCTCTCTTAATTGTTTGTCGTTCATAAAATATATGGTTCTGTATGTGACCCACTCTATAATTGACTTATTATTCTTACACGTGATGACTTATATTCAGGGTTGTTTCAAAAGTTTGGTCTTCTCCTCCGACTTGTGATATGGGATAATTGTATAATGATAAGCTGCATTATCTTTCGGCATCACAAATTAGATGTGTGATTGCTTGAGGCTGATCATTTCAATTTCCTGATTTGGAAGGCTTAAGTCATTCGACTTTTAGACTCTAAATCAGGAGACTTAAGTATTAATGCCGGGCAACGGAGTTGGAGATAGGGTTCACAATTTCTTTGCACAAGAAAACTTGTCCCAGGGACAGCATTCACATGCCGTGGGTGGGAACTCGCCTTCAGATAACAATTTGTGGGTTAGTAATCAGAAACAAATTGGTTCCCCAAGTCTCCATACGAAAGCTTACGACCCTGAACAGTCAGGTAATTAATTGGGCTTTTGATTGAGTTTTTGATGCTATTTGATGTTCATCTAGTCATCTTTTAAGTTTATTAATCTGATGGATGGTGTTAAAGATGTGGTGGTTTCCATATAACCAATTATAGTCTGATTTTCTATGATGTTCGATGACTTGAAAATATCTGCTCCTTCTTTTTCATGAGCAGAAGTTGAACCAAGACACGACGGTCTACGTGTTCCTGTCTCAAATGGCTTAAACTTTATGCAAGCAACTGCAAGGGCTGAGTTTACTAAAAACCAGTCTCAAAGCCGACATCAAATCATGAACCGATACATGTATGGACATGATGTGTTACAGCCCAGGCCGAATGAAGCAGTTCTTTTAGGGTTGGATAGAGACTCCACTCAAGATAATGTGAACACGAGAGGCTTCTTGGTACATGAGTTGCAACAAGGGGGTGTTTTTGAGCAGATATCTAATTCAAATAGATCAAATGAAATTGATGCACATGGTAGTTTGAATCTTTTTGGAGGTCAACATCAGACAAACAGTCAGCACCCAGGTTTACTTCAACGAGTACAACAGCAGCAGTCTGGATTCAGTGGTATAGCACTGCAGCGGCAGCTCATGCTAAGAAAGATGCAAGAACTTCAAAGGCAAAAGGATATGCGACAACTGAACACTAGGCAACATAGCTCTCTAAATCAAGCTTCTTCCTTTGCTAGACAGGCATCCGGAAGCCATCCACATGGACTTGTTAATGGCACTCCAACTTCTGATTCTTCCGGTTATGCTTGGAATGAGCTTGCAGCAGGTAACACAAACTGGTTGCAGCGCGCTTCTCCAGCGATGCAGGGATCCTCTAGTGGACTTGCCTTTTCCCCTGAGCAGGGTCAGCCGCAACGGTCCATGGGTTTTGTTCAACAGCAGGTTGATCAGTCTTTATATGGGGTTCCTGTTTCTAGCTCAAGGGGCCTACTAAACTCGTATCCTTACGCTTCCACAGATGAGGTCTCGACTCAACAAATGCCAACCTCTGGAAATTCATTTCCTGGCAACCATAATGCTGGTATCCGAGAACAGGTTATCAGTCATGATGGAACTCTGGTCAGTAGGCAAGGCGTCCCAGGTAAAAGTTTGTTTGGGCACATGTCTGGTCAAGGTTCAAATAGCTGGATAAAGATGGAGCAAATTCAGCAATTCACATCCACCAATCAAACTGGATCAGAGCAGGAGTTCCAGGGTCCACTGGATCTAATTGGCCCTTCACAGATGGCACAGGATGAACCGGCAATTGAAGCTTCACATATGGAAGCTTCTCTAGACCCCGAGGAAGAGAAAATTTTGTTCGGTTCAGATGAAAATATCTGGGATGCTTTTGGCAGTGACAGAAACATGGGTGGAGGAGCCTCTAGTCTGCTGTATGATAATAATGAATTTGCAAGTGGACTCCCTTCTATTCAAAGTGGTAGCTGGAGTGCTCTTATGCAATCAGCAGTTGCAGAAGCTTCTGGCACTGGTATAGGCTTACAGGAAAAATGGACTCCTTTGAACTTTCAGAATCTTGAACATCCATCAGCTAGACACCCTTCAACGTATGAAGGCAGCGGGAAACAAACGCCTTTGGCTGATGTTAACTTGTCTAATGCCTCAGCTATGAGTTTTGGAGTTGGTGGTGCCACAATGAAAGATAAGCATCAGAGGAATGCGGGGATCCAGCATGATGATAAACAAAGTCCATATGAAAATGATGTGAGACCACTTTCCAATTCTTCTGAACGAATGAATCAGTATTCTTCAGGAGGGAGCAAGTGGTTAAATGGTGGACCTCTTCAAAAGGTAGATGCTGGGGGAAGTCAGCTATATGGAAGTAGCCTACCACATAACAAAGAAAATGATTGGACTCCCACAGAATCTACTTCAAACCCTGGAGACAGAGCCTTTAACACCATTGAAAATGGCTACTCAATGCAACAATCTCAGAGGAATAATCATACAAGAGTCATGCAGGAAGAAATTGGTCAAGGTGATGGTATATGGAGGGTTAATGCTCTTCCTAATTCCATAGTTGATCCGGAGTCCACAAATACTTCCATGGGTAGCCCACAGATTAGTGGAGAAGGTTTTACTGTGAACAATGCTGTTGCTACACCTAATCTAAGCAACATGCAAGGTGCTAGTCATTTTGGCCAATTCCCTATAAATAGCCATCAACTTAGTTATTGGAAACGAGTTGAATCCTCAGTGAGATCTAAAGGGACTGGGAATTTGAGGAAACCACAGGGTCGTCTGAACAAGGGTTCGCAGGTTTCTGAATCATCATTTAATAGCTCTGATAAGGAGGATCTAAAGATGCATGAGATAGAGAGCAGAAGTAAAAGGGAGAACTCCAATGACAGCTACCAATCCAGCTCATCTTGCCAGGTAACTACTGCTCGTTTGAGAGAAAATTCTTCATCAGATGCTGGTGATTTCCGGGCCTTGCCTGCGACAAAACAACATTCATCTAATCAGTCTGGTCGGATGACTTCTGGTCAAAGAAAGTTTCAGTATCATCCGATGGGAAACTTGGATGAGGAGGTTAAAATGCCTTATGGAAAATTACAAAGTACAAATACGCAGGCATCGTCCTTGCAGAATTTTCGAAGATTAAGAGGTCAAGGTCAAGGGAATGTCGGACACATTAACATTAGCGGCCAGGTACCTAAAAGTTCTGCTGAAATGGAAAAGGTGAATTTTGGATTATGTGTATACAAATATTTTCAATCTAGTATGATGTTGTCCAGCTAGATATGAGTGGTATTCTACTTTCAGGGGCATGTATCTGATCTTGAGGGAATCACCAAAGGATCTCATGGCATAAGGTCAAAGAACATGATTGGTGGTCATGATATCTTTGCTTCCTTTGATAGATCTGTAGGTTTATCTACGTCAGAGAAGGATTCTCAATCTAGGTATTGTTTAAATTATGTTCTTTTTTTGCCCTGATGCAGTATTGATGAAATTTCTTGTCTTCATCACATGTTCAAATTATATTTCTTTAGCGATATTCATCTGCTGGAGCTAGCAGAAAGCTAGTATGCAGTTATAAGTTAAAGGCGATATCTGAGTGGTTTATCTCTCTCTTTCTATGTGTACATATATATAGACACACACATAATACACACAGAAACATTTTTTTGCTTCATTTATTTCTTATCTTTGTTTTATTGTGCAGTCAAAATATGCTTGAGCTCTTTCACAAGGTGGATCAATCAAGATATCTTGGTAATGCAAGGCATTTGAACTCTTCAGAACACGATTTATCATCAGAGATGCATGTACCAGATTGTTCTGATGGATCTTTAGGAGGCCTCCAGAGAAGTCAGTCATCAAACTCTCAAGGGTTTAGTTTACAACTAGGCCCTCCATCACTGCGATCACCCTTGCCAGATAATACTTCTAAATTTTTGCGTCAGCCTGAGGCCTTTTGTAATCTAAGAGACAGGGGTCAGGCGTTGTTGCCTTCTTTCCAGGAAACGCCCCATGGAGGATTTAAGAACAATAGAATTGACAGTTCTGAGCAAAATACAACTGAAATCTCATTGCATAAGATGACAGCTAACTTGTCTTCATCTTTGGGTGCTGTTTTTCCAGTTTCCAGGAGTCAGCTTCAAAACCATCAAATGGTCAGTGCAAGAGGACTAGCATTGACAAATAATCCTGACAATGAATCTTTGAATACGCTTACAGATGAAACCTGTAATGGACCACATACTGGTCAATCTGCAGAGGGTTGTATGTCAAATAAAGCCAGCTTTGGCCAGTATACTGATGCTGCATCAAGTCACAGAAGAGTTAAAGCCTCACAAATTTCAGGAGGGGAAAAGTTGCTTGCGACTCTGCCTCAAACAAGTTCCAGCATGTCTGAACATTGTCGATCCTCAAAAATGTTGCTCAATGAAAGCACTGATCTTTCATCTCAGCAACAAGATTTCACAACTCAAACTTGTGGAGTGCAATTAAATCTTTGCAAGTCTAGCCAGTTAAATATTGTTGAATCAACTTCCATAGGCCTTCAGAATCTAGAGGATCATGAAGCTGAGAAGAGAGGGAATCTATTTCCTACCTTTTGTACAAGTTCTTTGAATTCTCAGGGCCTAGCTTCTGCAGGGGTGCGGTCAACAAAAGACTCCTTTTCCTCACAAAATGTATTATGTGGAGAGGTTGATGGAGCTCAAACGATGAATGGATCTCAGAAGGAATTTCATGCAAACCCTGCTACTAGTGAGATTGATCTCGAAGCCTTTGGACATTCTCTCAAACCAAAGCATTTCTATCAAAATAATTCTTTGATGAACCAAATGAGGGCCACGAGAAATATGGATAATGATCCATGTATCAGGGTAACAAAGAGAATGAAAGTGTCAGATAACGTCTTGGATGGTAAGCAAGTAGCTCCCTCGTCAGGGCAGCCAAATGGGCACAATGATATGGTGGGAGATGCATTGACTTGCAGTACAACAGTCCTACCTGGAGATTCGCAAATGCTAAACTTTTCAGGGTCAGGAGATAACGTTTTGAGGAATGTGCCTTCTCAACCTGGCTATGTACCTTCGGTAGACGTGCTTGCATCTTGTCAGAATGAGTCTCAAAGTTCTGTACCTAGTAACAGTATGACTCCTGTTAAAGCTGAACATTCTCACATCAGTCCGCAAATGGCCCCATCCTGGTTTGATCGATATGGAACCTTTAAAAATGGCCAGTCGTTGCCAGAAAGAGTCGGTACAGTAAAGTCCATTGAACAACCATTTAGTGTTCAGAGACTTTCTGGTGGTTTGGAGACACATAATACAAAGGGGCAAGCAAGTTCTGCTGTTGATACCAGTCAAATTGGTGCTATCTGGAAGAATCCTGCCCCACCATCAGTGGCACTTGAGCAGTCTTCCTCACTATTGCCCAGGAATGCTGGTATTCAACATCTTATTACCTTAAGACCAAAGAAGCGCAGGCTTACAGCAGCTGGTCTGCATCCATGGTTCTTGGAAGTGTCAGCGAGTTTTAAAAATCTTCAAGGCATCTGGTCCGTGCCAATGAGACTAACTCTTTTGATTCACTCACTAATGTTCTCTCACCCTATAAATATGCTGGATTAGAGGATTTCATGAGCAAAACTATAGAAACCACCAATGTTACCATCAAACTTGCCAATTTTTCTTGTTGGGATCACAGGCGAGAGAATGTGTTATCTCACACGCTTTTTCTACACATAGAAGTTGTGGTAGTTTGGTTGTTGCTATAGATTTGCCATATTGCCTGGGGCTAGAGTGATCTGGACATTGAAGGACATATGTTTCTGGACTTGGTTTTACCTTCCATGTCAGAGATGGTTATGTTAATCCATTATTAATTCTTTTGCTTGCAGCACTGGTGCAGTGGAATGGTGCAGAGCAACCAATCGGCCGATGGAAAAGGTATTTAGTTCTTACTTTATAAAGTTCGTATGCATCTTTCAGTAGTTTTAATAAGCATATTCTGTCATAGGTTGATGATGATGGTGATGTGATTGAAGATGTACTACCAGTCACAAGATCAAAAAGACGACTTATCTTCACTAGTCTGCTAATGCAGCAACTGCTTCACCCTCCCCCAGAGGCAATTCTATCAATAGATGCTCGTTCCATCTATGAGAGTGTGGTTTACTACATGGCTCGGCTGGCACTAGGAGATGCGTGCAATCTAGTCTCTTTTGCTAGAAGTTATTCCAGTATCTTTGTTAGTGGAGCAAACTGGTAAGAAAATCTTCAAAAAGTTGAATCATCTGAGCATGTTTTGCATTCTTCTTCTTGTCTTGTTCTTAAATGTGTTTTATGGGTGAACGATTTGCAGCCTATCTGATCAATGCGAAGAGCCTGAGAGAATTGATGACCATTGTCTTTCAAAAGTCATTGAAGATTTCATGAGTAAAGCACAAAAACTTGAAGATGATTTTTCGAGGTACCATTCTCATGGATTTACTTCTGTGTTTGCTGTTATTAATATATGCATCTGATTATAAAGCCAACTTATCCTATAGCTTGCATGGTGTTCCAATATTTTAGCATTTTGAGTTATTTGATTAATCTGCAAGGCTTTGTTTGGATTTCAAAATCTAATGAAACCGATTACGCAAAACAGATTGTTTCTGTAGCACATTTACTTTGAGATGATAACATGTTCAAAATTATCGTATGCTTTAAGAACATCAAGATGCATGGAGGGTGGAACACATGTAACGTTGTTTTGAATCGCCAAACCAAGTTCATGAGGCCATAGTTGTGAAAAGCGCGCCTGAGGCGTATAAGGCGCAAAGGACTGGGCTTTTTCCATTTCAAGGCGAGGCGAGTTAGTAGTTACTGAGGCGCAAATGGGCTTAGGCGCTTATACAGATCTGCCCTAAATTCAAATAATTTTCTTGTTTCTATTATTAAATAAGTCAAAACCTAATATTAATTATGTCTTTTAACCTCCTAGACTTCTAACAAAAAGAGTTATTAGATAAGTTATTCAATTCTCTATTCAACTCTAATAAGTCATCTCCTATAAATAGCTGTCATACATTGTACTCTCCTTCACGAAGGATGAGTTATTGTCAACCTATTAGTCAAGACTTTATTGAGATATGTTTGATATTACTACTTTTTGGATTTTGAAATTGAACTATGTTTTTATATAATGGTATTTGAGTTGATATTACTACCTTTTTTTTACGGCACTTGAGTTGTGTGTTACTATGTGTGTGTAAATATATATATATATATACACACACACACACACACACACATATATATATATATTATTTCTTTATACGATGAGCCTCGCATTCGTGAGGCCTGCACCTCGTGCCTAGGCCCCAGGACCCCTTTGCGCCTTTAACAACTTTGCATGAGCCAATGTTTGAGCTCACAGGAGAGCATGGAAGTTATTTGCATTCACTTATTGAATTTGATGCTTAGTAAAGCTGAAGTAGCGATTTTAATCAAAGTTATGTGTGAGGTTAATAGACGTTGTCCTGCCGGCAGGTTTGTTGCCCAATGGTGCCCTTCTTTCAATTTTTTTATGGAACATTGGGAACTGTAAAGGGATGCAGGGAAGTGGAAAAAAAATGAGAATTGTTTCCAAGCTTATCACCATTGATGCTGCTTAGGGGCCGTTTACCCTAACACTTACCCGGTAAGTGCTTACTGGTAAAATTCAACACTATCACTTGCTTACCAAGTAAGATTTTAGTCCACCAAAACGGCATTGTATGCAACAATCTACCCGGTCAGCGTTAACTGTGGTAAGAATCATCGCCCTCACTTACCGGGTAAGACTCTCGGTCCTTGCCTTAGCTTTACCAGGTGAGATTATTGGTCCTTGCCATATTCATCCGGTAAGGTAATGTGATGTAGTAAGCGCTTAACCGGGTAAACGTTTGGTAAACGGCCCCTTAGTTTGCTCTGAATAGAATCAATGACCCAGTTAGACCACATCTTCCTTTGTAGCTTCTGTTTTGGTGGTTTCAAATACCTATCATATAGGCAGAACGAATCCTTAAAACATGCTAATTTGCTATTTGTACACGTTGAGGAAAAAAAACTATTGAATTGAGAGGGGCTTTTGGTTCTGGTTGGTGTTCCGGTTCTGGTTCTGTCACAAGTATCATGAAACGGCTGAAGAACTAGTTATAATAGCGAGAAGCTTCATGAAGTTGTAACATGCCTAATGTTTAATGGGGTCTCTCTAATGATCTTCACATTTTGGTTGCAAGACCAAATTAATAAGAATCTTTTCTCACCCATCTCTTTGTATTTTTGTTTTAATGGCGGGGTCTTCATGGGAACAGCCTCTCTACCCTTCGAGTAGAGGCAAGGCCTGTTTACATCTTACCCCCAGATCCTACATCTGTGTGAGATACCTGGGTTCGTTTGGTTTAACCAAATTGAAAAGAATCTGAAGTAGTAGGAGATTTATTAATAAGGTAATCTTTTTCACTGTCCGCCAGAAGTGATGCTTGAGTTGTTCAGTCAATCATTCACCTCTCCTTTCTTGATGTGGCTATTGTTTATGTTTTTCCTTTTTCAATATTCATTAGCTCTACCGTACCTGACTCGCTAGTTTCATCCCAGACTTGATAAGATAGCATCGGTTGTGGATTTGAAGGTGGAATTTGGAGATCTGGAAAGATTCTCCGTCGTCAACCATTTTGCTAGATTCCATGGGAGGATGCAAGCAGACGGGGCTGAAACTTCATCAATCATTTCCCCTCGGAGATACGTCACTGCAGTTGCATTCCCCGCAATTCTTCCTGATGCGGTACAATGTCTCTCCCTTTGATCATTAATTACTTGAATTTGAACCGTCCTCGATGGAAAACTGCAGGAGGATACTTAGAAAGCAGAGACTCTTTTGCCTTTAGCCTGTCTCATTCAATCTTGAGAAATACAAGTTCATTACTTGTACATCTGTGTGAAATTTTGAAGGAACTTGTAGGCACTTGGGTTTTTTGGGGGGTAAGATGGGTAGTTCATATGTTCAGTCAGTTTGCAAGATTCCATTTGGAAGTAGATTGAATGTTGTAAGTTTGTCCCTTTTTGATGGAGCACATATTTTGATGGGACATTTTTGTATACATGGATGGAGTTGCTTTTAACAGGTCTACATTTGTACATACTTTCCAGTTTAAGTTTAGGGTCCTTTCAGTGCTTGGCTGTGTTTTAGGGAATTAGGGGTTGTTTACCAAATTCTAACAGTGTAAGCGCTTATCAGGTAAGAGTTACCACCCTGACTTACCTTACCGGGTAAAATGCTCGGCCATCAAAATGCAATAGTCAGGTTGTTGGTAAGTGTCTTTTACCGTAGCGCTAATCGGGTAAGCACCACCCTGGGTAGGATTCTTGGTCCTTGCCATGCTCACCCTGGTAGGATAACTGATCAGGTAAACACTTACTCGGTTTGCATTCTCGGCCATCTTGTGCGGAGATTTGTTGGTTTCCTTCTATTTGGCAAATTTTCAAGCAAAAGTTACTCATGTGACATTGCTAATCATCGGTGAAACTTGTTTTTATTTGATCGTTATAGGATGTTATTTTAAACTTGTTGATAAGTACTTGAAATGCCGCAGTTACCCTTTCAATCGACTGAGTCATCTTCTTCAGGGCTTTGAACCCATGAAACCTAATGGCATGTTGCTTCTCGTTCTTAATAACACATCCGGTAAAGTAATTGACCTAGTAAACGTTTACTAAACGACTCCTAAGATGAACTTGAAAACGGACAGGTGTCTACAAATGGGATAATTTAAATCTATATGTATATGAAATATATTAATTTGAGTTACATTTTAAAAATGAAACAAAGTTAAATGATATAAAATTTGTGTAAATTATAATCTAAGTAGTGAACGGTTATTTTGAGAAGTGGTAAATATTTGAGAAGTAAAAAAGTGATCATAGCCCTTTATACGATCAAGATCGCATTTGACTAGTCAATAATTATGGTTTTGACTGGTCAAAAATTGCGGCTATGTGAAAGATAGAGATGACATTTTTGTAATTTTTGCAAATAGGCGACAAACGAGTTATATGAATCTATCGTGTAATTTACATATAAACTATTTTAACTGATTTACATAAAAACCTTTATGATTCACATATGAACTAATTAACCGACTTATATACGAACCTATGGATTCATGTATGAATCAGTTAAAGAGTTCACATGTTAACTAATTAACATGTTCGTATATGAACATATAGTTCACATGTGTATGACATGGTTCACATATGAATTTGTTTTATGCGTATTTATATATGTTAGAAAACTATCATTCTATCTTTTGCATACTCATGTGAGGAATTATCCGGTGATTCACGGTTAAGACGTAAATGTTGACCTGATGAAGGGTTAAAATCACTTATTTACTTTTTAAATATTTACCACTTCTTAAACGAATATTTTTCTAATCTGTATTTAATAAAAAAATTACCATATTTAGATTGTTTTATTTAAAATATTGAATTATTATTTCAATATATTCGTTATTTTGTTGATAAAAATGTGTTGACTTGTGGTTGTTTTTTTTCATAATAAATTATTATTAGATTTAAAAATTATAGATTTTTTGGGAAAAGAAAATATAATGCTATTATGCTACGAAAGTGTTTGAATATATTTGCTTTAAACACATTATTATGATTTCAAATATGAAAACCCAAATAACAATTTAAATAAAACAAAAATAATTAAATACATTTTTTATATTAATTTATAATATGAAATCTAAATATTTTAATTATAAAAACTCAAAATGATACTTTTGTTAGTCATGAAATATTAAAATTGAATAACAACTTAAAATTTTAAAATATATTGTTTTTTTTAAGGCAAAAAAAGAAAGACAAGGAAGAGAGCTTCGACATGGCCATCACCCTCACTAAAATATATGGTTTTATAAAAATTATAGCAGATAGATTAAAACAACTAAAAGGAACAACATATCAAGAACAAACTTTTTTGCATGACGCAAAAAGCAAGCCAAGACACCAAAAAACAAACGCAAGATAAGGAAACAACAAAAGAGATCTAAAATCAAAAGAGACCCGACAAAAATCAGGCCTAGAAAACGAACTAGGTATTGATCACCTTATCATTCTAACCATGTCAAGTTGAAACCTTTGGCATGCATGGAGACCCATTGGAACAAAAAGAATTTGTGATTCACACTGATCATTCGATCTGTCTAAAAACACCCAATTGTTTCAGTGTTTCCAAATTAAATAATTCACAATACGACGTTCCAAAAATGACTCTTAGAACTCGAAACGGCAAAGAAGTCTAATCCTTTCCACAGATCATCAAAAGAAATTGAGGGTGTCAAGATCCATCCCCACCAATAAAAGCTAGAAAAGGCATGAGAAGAAACAATACTCGATTGTCTACATCAACAATTAATATATATATATATATATAGGGGTTTAATCAAATGAGAACTGAGTTGTTTGTAGTAAACGTAAGATCCAATCTTAACTACACACCCTAATAATCAATAGTTAAAATTGAAAGGATTCCTAATTAATATAATTCCTAAAATAACATACTTATGATAATATTTGTGTGGTACATCGTGATAACACTTAGTATTCCTTGTTTCCATTCAATTTGTGCTACATTTTGACAAATAGTCTAACTCTTCCCTAAGTATTTGGAAGAACAGAACTCAGCCTTAACCAACCTCAATAAAATGTGTGCAGTAGCGGGCAAGACTACACTTGAACCACAAAAGAGAAATAACATCACCAATGCCCAATCCTTTTTAGACAATTGTGGACATTGGTACTCCAGCATAGCATGGCTCTTCACCTGTAAATCAGATCAAAGAAATCACTCACTAACAAGTGTTTGTACATGCATTACCTCCCCAAAAACTTGTGCAWCATGTAYRTACCTCTGTCATYAGAGATGSTTRAAATAATATGAGTAGGAATACTCATCTCGACCACCAAGTTCTCCAAGCACAACTATCATTTTTATCTGTATTTGACCAGAAGAAAATGTCAAAGAAAAGGGCATACATATTTGAATGTTGATAGATTATAATCTACACAACAATACTAACTAAAAAGAGAACCTTAAACATTGCAGTTTTTTATGGATGGAATTAGTTACAGATATACCTGTGGGATGTTGTTGAACCGCAGAACGAGATCAGAAAGAGTAGAACCGGGAAAAACATATCCTCCAATAGCAATACATACAAATTCCCAAGTTTATACCCACAAAGACAATAGGCTACATTTTCTGTGGTACATCATGATAACACTTAGTATTCCTTGTTTCCATTCAATTTGTGCTATATTTTGATGTATCTTCCACTTGGATTGTAGTCGTTAATCTCTGTGAATGCAGTTGTCACAGCTTTATATACCTCTTCACCCATGTCTCGCTTTAGGCCTTTCAGTTTATCATAATTTTCCTCAATGATTCCCTGCTCCAATAACATCAAACTTTTAGGTGCCTTCTTCTTATGCAAGAATTTGGCAGTAGATGAAAAATAATATACATAATTGACTCAAATTGAAGTACATAAAATGAAATCTAGTGGAACCAAATGTTGAATACCCTTCGTTGATTCTTTGTAATGAAAAACCAAATATATGTGAGTGTGTATAATATCAATTCCTTATCATTCTAACAAGTTCTTGTAGCTCACCCAGATCACCATCATAAAGTCTCTTTTTGTTACTGTAAACAACTGCAGGTTTAAATAAAAACCCATAATCATGTTGATGATCATCATCTCTACTTTGTAATACATGAGAACTGTTGTAATACATAAAACCACAGTTGTAATACATGAGAACTTTGTTGGTACCACATGAAACCACAGTTGTAATACATGAGAACTGTTGTACCAACAGTGCGTGCGCGCGTGCGTGTGTGTGTGAAGCAGTTACATGCGAAATAGGTTATTGAAATATGGATGTTTAATGTCATATTCTTGTTTAAAGAGGGGCCTATCCGTACTACTATTTAAGCACGGGGTTTACTTTCGGCCTAGAGTTATGCGAATGTGAAGCGACGAAATCCAAGACGCAAGAGATCCTAAGAAGAAAACAGATCTACAACGATGTCGTCGTCCGGCAATGATCCCCGTCAGCCGTCGTCGGCCAAGCCATACAAGCCTCAACCAGTTCACCCTGATAATCTCCCCGTTGATTACTCTGGTTTCATCGCGATCATCTTCGGCGTCGCCGGCGTTATGTTCCGAGTAAGTTATTGAAAACTCTATTTATGAAACAGTTGCAAACTTGTATATATACGCGTATGTATGCATGTAGGATTATTGTATATATTCGATGAAATTTCAATTAACGGTCAGCTGAGATCTGGGGAAGTAATTTAGTACTGTAAGAATCCAAAGTAGACTATTAAAAATGAAGGACTCTTTTGCTTTCTGGAACCTGTACATGATCGTTTTGATGACTCTCAAGAGAATCAGACACTTCTAATTCAATAATATATGATTAATTTTGCATATGTTTGGTGATTATGAAGTGGCAGCTAAGCATTAGGGGATATTATTATTAAGGAGCTATTGGATTGTGAAGGTTCAGCGAAATATTAGGTCATTTGTTAGGAATAGGAATCAGGATTGGAGTAGAAGTTAGTTGACAGTTTCCTGTTACCTAGAACTCCATTCTCTCTAAACCTAAATTGTCATTGGTTATTCAAATAGAAGTTATAGGAATTGCTTTACAATAAGTGACAGGCTTTGTGCAACTTCTGTTGGAATTATTGCGTGCATCTCTTGTTGATGATGGTGAGTTAAAGAAATATGATTAGCAGAAGGTGAAAAGGTGATTCAACCTGGAAAGATGTTATGGAAGAAGAAAATGTCAGCACTTCATAGAAGGGATGTTATATAGAAGCACTGATACTATAGAAAGAACTTTAAGTCTAGCTGCATGGTTGAGTTTTCTCTGAATCTGTTAGGAACTCCTACATGATTGGATGCTTTAGCATCTCCATGGTAGGAGCTTCTATTCTCTTTATGGGGAGATTATTGTGTTATATGGATCAACCAAGTGAGTTGAAGTCTTTATAACTTCTACCGGCAGAATAAGGCTCTACATGGGCTTAATGGATTTCTATCAACCTGGTATTTGAGGCAAAAAATTTAAAAGAGGCCTGCACAGAAAACAATTATTTTATTATTCGTGATTTTTCAGAAACAAAATTACTGGCCAAAGTTTAAATTCAAGATGTTCTAATATATTGATTCTATCCTGAGAATTTCTTGATCATAAATAAGATTTTAGTAGTTTTAGCTTTGAGAAACTTCTTTTGGCAAACTACAAGGGTTGTGGCGTAGTGGTTGAAGTCCTGGTGAATGTGGTGGAATATCCATCTCCCCAGGGTTCGATTCCAGGCACTCAAAAAAATTGTGGCCACTGAGGTTATCATGGCTGATTTCTTGCAGTCACAATTTAACGATATTAGTCCTGGGATAACTTGGGACACCCTTCCAAAAAACGAACTTCTTTTGACAGAAGCGACAGTTAAATGTATAGTTAATAATATTCTATATCCGATGCATGCATTAGTAATAGAATGATCCATTATATTAGGGCCTTTTTTGGGGGGCCTGAATATAGGGCCAGCCCTGCCTCTTATGGAGACACTGTTAGAAACCTTTTCTTTGAGCCAAATTAGTTTAGATATTGATTCACTATCTGCTTCTATAAGGGCTCAAATAAGCATTCTTTCCATCCTCTTTGTGTGCCATGCACATGAACATTAGCTGAATGGTGAACCAAACACTATCAAGCTCACATCAATTGCTTGTTGTTTTGTTGGAAATGCAAAAGCATGGGGAAAGTGCTATGAATTGGTCTACATATGTTGGTGGATGTCATCTCGAAATGTCCACATCAAAGTCTATTTATTAATGTATCCCTGTTTGTGCCAAACTTCTATCTGAACTTTATCGTTGTATATTAATATTGGAATTATGTTTTGAGTTGAAATGTTGTTTGGTTCTTCAAACGGTCCCTTTATTCTTTTCAGCATAGTCTAGTGATTTTAAGGTCGTTGGTCATGACTTGTGAGTGCTCCTATAAAAGTTTGTCTGATTGATTATAGGATTTCATGGCCTGATAAATTTATGCTTTTTGCTTGTTGCAGTACAAGCTTGGTTCGTGGCTTGCTCTCATATTCTGTGCCCAATCGCTTGCTAACATGAGGAATTTGGAGACCGACTTAAAGCAGATCTCCACAGGATTTATGTAAGTGTGTTTTCAAGAAGAGTCATTATATATATATATATATATATACACACACATGCATAGACTTGGGATCATGTGAGACTCAGGGTTTCTAGTGAGACCCGTAAGACCAATTCTCAACCTTGGATTAGATCTACAATATGAACATTTTTACAATCACAAAATTGCCACGAGACTTCTCAATAACACAAAATTGTCACCGTACAACTTTAGACCATTAGATCATTAACTTATAAAGTTGATCAATGAACATAAATTGGTCTTACGGGTCTCACGAAAAACCCTTGGTCTCACGTGAACCCAACCCTACATATATATATAGGGGAGCGTTCAAATAAAAACCACTCAATTTGTAAAAACCGTGAAAACCTCATTCAACCAATCATAATTTTTTGTTTTGTTCATTTTTTTGTAATTATGAGAGGTTGATTAACCATTTTTATTGTGTAGGGTGTTAATCATGGATATTATCATCTTCATTATTTTAATTTTAGAGAAATACATGAAACAGTTTCATTCAAATTTCATTAAATATTATATGAAACAATTTCATAACCATATATGAAACAAATTCATCAAAAAAGTATTATATGAAAAAAATTCATAAGATTAAACAATGAAATCGATGTATGAGAGTGGTTTGTACGGTTTTTACAAATGAGGATGGTTTTCATTTGAACGCTCCTCTCTCTCTCTCTCTCTATATATATATATTCCCAAAAATTCTCATATATAATCTTTATGCACCGACTTGTGATCTCTTGTGCCATAAAATGGTTTAACTTTAAGGGTAGAGTGTATAATCAGGAAGTGTGACTTTTTGACTTTTTTGGTTGAAAGGAAATCATGTTTTTGTATTTAGAACTTGTGGAAAGATGTGATAATATCGTTGGTTGTTCAGGTTTGCTGTGATGGGAATGGTGACAAATTACCTGAGCCCTGCTAGAGCTGCTGTGAAGACTTGATATGAAGGTTTTCCTTTCAAATCTATCCTTCTCAACTTAGGTTGTGTCACAATTGTTCCCATGTTTTGGTTCTGAAATCTGTTGTGCTTTTCTTTCATTTGTACACCAGAACAACTGGTGTTTTATAGATGTTGAATGGATCCTTTTGGGCTTTTAGTCCTATCAAAATCAAGTATTCCATTTCTCCTTACGGGAGAACATGTTTTACGAACAGCCCGTATCATATCGAAGAAATATCATCAAACAAATCGATTCACACTGAAACAGGCCTTCAGACGGTATCAAGATCGGAAGAAATATCATCAAACAAATGTTGATGACATGACCCATCCATTGTCTCTCTCACAGGGCTTTTGTAGACACCTCATCTAACTTTGTCAAACATTTACCAGAAACAATTTTTGAAATCCCAAAATCAAGCTGAAAGTTCGAGCTCCATTCGTTGTTGAATCTCCTTTATACGTAAACCCAAAACGTGACGTAGGTCTGGGGCGACGGGAAGTAGGTTGCTGTAGCGGGAAGATTGGTGTCCGTTGGCACTGATAAAGATTCATGATCTGGGTGCCATACGGCGATGGCTAGAGCCTGGATGCTTGAGGGAAGACAGATGTGAATTTGGAAAGATTTGGTTCCCCGATTATATTTAGGCAATCTTCATAATCTTTTTTCATGACATGAAATTTAATTAATGACGTAGATGTTATGTAAAAGAAGTTGATGTTATTTTAGCAGAAACTGATGAACCAGTAAACTAGACTCTTAAATAAACGAAAAGTTCATTAAGGGACTGTTTACCAAATACTTACTTGGGTAAGCATTTACCATGTTATATTACCGTACCAGATGAACATGATAAGAATCAAAAATCTTACCCGGCAAGGATCGAGAGTCTTACTTAGTAAGTGAGAGTAATGACTCTTACCACAGTCAGCTCTTACCGGGTAAATTGTTACATAAAAAGCTATTTTTGTTGACTAAAATCTTACCCGATAAGTAAATAATAGTATTGAATTTTCTCGTTAAGTGCTTACCGGGTAAATGTTTGGTAAATGGCCTTAAGATTTTGAAAATTAGTTTCCTAAAATAACAATTAGATTAAAAGTTGGTTTTGTTTAGATGCAATAATTTATGTATTAAGACTTTGTAAAGAGACAGCAGAACATATTATAATTTCATTGTTTTAGGTTCTTATCGTAGACTCAAAAATTCCACAAAATTGTGGAGATTCCGAACAATGTATTATTTTATTTTAATGCAATTTGTTCTTTAAAATATTCTATATTTATAATGTAAAAATGATCTTGATGATTAAAGATAAATTATTATTTGCAAACCAATCTAAATGTTCATGTAAAACAAGGTTCCTATGAGAAGCGTAAGAAAAGATCTTCACCCTTGGATGCACATTATGATAAGATGTACCGGATCAATCCCCGTATCAAACGCGATTCATGGATGAGTTTGATATTAAAAATAATCAAGGGTCTAGATCCTTCTCACCTTATTTCTCCTTCTCACACGATCCTTATCCATTTCAACTTGTTAAGTCGTTATGAATCTATAACCAATGGTTCCGAACGGTTACAACATGTCACCCAACACAAAAAAGAAAATGGAGAACTCAAATTTTATGTAACGTATTTTCAAAACCTTTATTTTCGTTCTACATTTGGATACCTAAAATAAGAACAAAAGTAGGTTATAAAGTTAACCAGATATTTAGAACCAAAAGGAACACATACATGATACGACGCGATTGCTTACAAGCATCTTCTATATATTATTTTAGACGAGGCGAACAAAACGAATATTTTGCATAAATGGCGATAACGACATCCCCAAAAACAAACTAAAGAAGAAAGAGAAAAGTCTAACTTCAATCTGCCACATAATTTACCTATGCAATCACTCTCCGATGCAATCATGTCCACCTCCTTACCGGCTACGCTAAAGCTGTAGAGACACTTATGCACTCCTCATCACATAACTTCTTCATGGCTCGATAACAAGTAGAGGCTGCAAATAACAACGGTTAGTGTGTGAAAGTGAACATGTTCATGTGTGTGTGTGTGTGTGTGTGTGTGTGTGTGTGTGAGAGAGAGAGAGATTTACCGTATCCAAGCTAACTGGTTTCCCATCCTCGGCTATAATATCGACTACTGTTCCAGATTGATCGGCCTAATACAATAACATAAACGAGATTGATCAAAAATACACATCATGCTTCCTCTGTATGAAATAAGCCAAATTGCAAAAGAAAATGAGTTACCTCAATTTCGTTCATCAACTTCATTGCCTCAATAATGCATATTACTTGACCTTTCTGAACCTTGTCTCCAACCTGTTAAACATTCATTGAATATCCTCATGAGTAACTCAGATTCACATCATTCCCTATGAAGAGAGTCACAAATTGTTCAATGCATACCACCATTCAGTTTCTTTTCTTTCTGAAAGTGGTATCTACAACCTGAAGGCGCCACTAATCCACGCGGTCTAGGCCCACTGCCACACACTCCTATAACCGGGCCGGCAAAGGCCTTCCTATGGGAGGTTGGCGTGGGGCCAAAAGGGTTTTTAGACCCAATGGGAATCGAACCAGTGAGTAAGAGGAAATACCCTTCTTATTGATCAGTGGATTGCTAAGAAGCCCTTTTTTACCGTAAGTAACGGAAGGCGACATATGATTCTCGATGTTTTCAAAAGTTACCTTCACAAAGGCTGGAGCTCCTGGTGCAGGAGAGCGATAGAACGTTCCAGCCATGGGACATTTTAGTGGAGGGTGCGAGGACTTTGGCTTTGCAGGGGCAGGTAATGCTGGTACTGACGCAGAAGTAGCTGGTGCTGAAGAAGCAAGAGCGGCCTGTGGCGGAGGCGGTTGTGAATGAAACATAGCCTGGGGTTGTGAAGATTGCATCATCATCGTAGGAGGTGGGGCCAAAGCTTCCTTCTTTCTTATAAGGACCTCACAATCTTCTTGTTTTAGCTGCAGCTCCATTATATCTCTTGAATCCACAAGCCTGAAAGAAAGATAATAATAATAGCACCAACTACCCCATATAATAATTTAAGAAATTGACTTTACAGTTACACTCAGGGATCTGTGAATCATTGGACATTTACTAAGTTCTATATTTCCATTTGATATGTTTCAGAAGGGAAGGGTAAAGGTGCACAAGAGATGGTTTTAAAGATTTGCGTTTAATAATGACTTTAAACGCACGTAAAGTTATGTAACCTTGAAAACGCTTTAAAAATGAAGTGTTCCAAATAACTAGGGAAGCCCAACGGAAGATATTAAAACAATTATTTCCAGTAGGAGAATCATTGGTATTAAATCTGCAGATAACGCTACAACATGTGGATAAAAAAAATATCGGCATACTCAACAAGCCCTGCCACTTGATTCATAAATGCGGTGATAGATTCAACATCAGGAACTGTGGTCTCAATAGATGATAGTTTGGTTGATTCTTCTGACTTCTCCAAGGCTGGTGAAGAATTCAATGGTTTTCCTTGAGCAACCTGAAGAGGAAAGATTATTGAATAGAAGTTGCAAACTAGGAAAAGTAAACGATATTTGATGTTATGCAGTTGGTAGTAACATGTAGATTACCTCATTAAGCTGAGCAGACACTTTCATAACGCCATTTTGGTTCCTCTTAGTTGCCTACAGGATGTCATCAAAAGTTAGCAAATATAAACCAAAACAAACGTACGCAGTATACATCATCAGAAGTGGGGTCTTGGGAACTGGGTTACGGTGGTTAGGATGTGCACAGACCTTTTCTATACCCCTAGGAATAGAGAGGCTGTTTTTGTTTGTAAAAAGGTTTTGGAAAGACACAACAGAGACATGAAGTTTGTCAAATAATGTGTAAAGAAAACTGGAGAGCAAGCAACAGAAGAAAATATGGGTAGAAAAGAGTGTATGCACACAGACTATAAAGAGCGTAAATAGTAAAGGCAGCAAAGGACAGTAGGGTGAGGAGAAGGTTAAAAAGTTAGCAAATATATGTTTGCTAATTTACTGTTATTATGCGACTCCCAAAAACCTAATTCCACCACTCTGTAAAGATATATGAGTTTCACATAAGACTTATCTCTTCATATATTACTACGATTTTCATAAGAAAATGATACAAACATTTGTGGTTAAAGGAAGAAGGGCAGAATGCTCGCCATGTCATGAGTTGTATACTGCCATTACTTAAATGAGACCAATGATATTATTACAAATAATAACCCACCAATGCCCTCCCTTAGGAATAGGTATCACGTATGACTTTGCATGATATTTAAGGACTTGTCATGATGCACAATGAAGTACTGCGGTGCCCGTTTAGTTTCCAAGTATGCCCTTTATATGGTGGCTCCATCATCAAATTATAAAGACATAGTAGTCATGACTCATGACACTATGATAAGGACTAGTCTTTGTCAACCACCAAAATACCTTCAAGCTTACCACAACTGGTTTTCATAAAGAGAAGCAAATTAATGCAACATCATCCCTCGACACTCACTCTACCACTTCAAAACAGGAAAAGTTGACAGGTTTGATGGTTTCCATAGATTTGCTCTTGAAATAAACAAAGAGAAGGCAAGAAAGTGACAACTTTAGTGAATTAGAGGATGCTGAATTCGATTCGTCACATAAGTGTAACTTGGCTGAAGTGATTAGATCCTACCATACAACTTTCTTAACCAATTAATAGCAAAAAGTAGTGATTCTAAGATGGTAGCTATTGAAAATAGCTATTTATAATGCTTCTTATTTGGGCTATTTTGTCCTTCAGATTATCCAATGAGAGGATCTGGTCAATTCAAATGTGGGATTCAACTAACGACCCCACAGATCAAATGGCACCACAAGTTTTCTTGAGAAAATGACTCATGCCACCATAGTAGGTGCTGTAGTTTAATTATATCTCTAAGCCCTTACTTGGCATTGAATCTGATACAAAAAGAGATACATGTTGGCTACACATAATGTGTAAGAAGCTGTGCACTTAAATCATTGGACAGAATCACTTTCTTAAGTTAGCAAGCAAGACATATTCAGTCACATTTATATAAACAAAGGCCATAAATACTTAAAAGCCCATTCAATTTCAATATCAGATTCAATCATATCGGTGGATCATATACAAAAACTTGATACCTGGGAAAGCAAGAGTAAAAACTCCAAATTCAATCGCATTTGCCTTACACACAACTACAACGATGAAAAATCTAACCAAATCATCATCAAAATCACCACATTTCATTTACCCACTACAATATTATCGATATCAAAGGTTAACTAATCACAAACAAGTCTCAACTTGAAGTGAATTCAGTATTTTTCATCCCGAAAATCAAAACCAAAATCTGAAAATACCTGAAACCCTTGAGTAGATGATCCAGAAACCAAAGCACGGGTGGGTTTGAAATCGGATTGGAAAAGAGCAAGGGAGGTGCTGCGGTGCTTGGGATTATGCTTAGGGTTGAGTTGAGGCGCTGATAAAGCAGAAGTTTTAGGGCAAGGAACAGAGAAAGACGCCATTGAAGAAGTGAAAAATGGGGTAATGGAGCGGAGATTTGTAGGGATTTGATGGCGGTGAAAGCAGAGAAAAAGGGGAAGGCAGTGTCGAAAAGGATGGCAATGGCGATATGAACGAAGTGAGAGTGTGGACAGGTGGTGGTTAAACAAACTACACCCACCCAACTCCACTTGGATGGGAGGCCTATTTATAGCCAGCCGTCACCTCCATCATCATGCCATGCGCCCTTGCAATTTGGAATACATTTCATTTCATCATTTAATATTTTTTTTTTTGTAATTATTATTAAAAAACAATAAAAGGATCAAGTTTAATCGAACCGGTTCAAGATCGATCGAGACCGTTGCATTCGTATCATAATATGTAATTAGGGTTGCATAGTTACCGACATGATTAAAACCAGTGACAACGAACTTCATATCAAGTCATTGATATCAACACGTCTGACAGTTGTTCAAGAGTTCCTCTATGCAATCTTTTTCCTTCTTCTTGTTGTATATCGCCATTCAACTTGAATTAGCAAAAGCTATGTCTCCTTGCATAATATGGATTCCGAACATTCATGATCTCTAGATGTGAATGAGTCGAATTACTTCTTCTTAGGTGCATGGATCAAATATATCTTGGTGAATTCTTCAGATTTTTTGTTTTGTCTTCCACAACGGAATTTGATATGTGAGATTTTCGAATAAGTGTTTTCATAATCTTCTTCTCCAAGATACTAAAAGTACCAGGAGGTTTCAGGTTCAATTCCAAGGATGAATAAAAATCCCCTTATGGCCACGGCTATTTGCAAAGCTAGCGGTCGCCCTGAGATTAGTCGGCTCGCATAGCGAGTTGGATATTCTGGTTAATAAAAAAAATGGAAGAAAAATCGGGATTAAACCCTTATTGATCTCCTTCATGATCGATACTTAAGTTTGGAACATGATCTTCATTCAAATATGGATCGTATTCATAACAATGGTCGAGAAATCAATCTACACATGTCAAGGCTAAATTTTAACTAATGGTTGGAAAAGAGCTCTGGCAGGTGTTTGATTAAGCTCATTATAGGCTCGATATATTACGGTTGAGTTACATTTCTGTATCTATCAAGTCAAAATCGATCTCCACCAATAGAAACTCACGGTTTCCTTGTACTGGACCCTATTGAATCGTCATCGAGCCTTATCGCGCAACATATAATATTGTGTGAAAACTTTCAACATGTTAAAATTTATTTAAAGCATGGCCGAAACTAGCCCAACCCGTGCGGGTTGGGTTGATGTGGAACGGTTTGTTCGGCTTGCGACATAATAAAATAACTGCATCAACATACTAAAACAACCATTAGTCACTACTACAAGTTAATCATCTTATATACGAGATGGGAAACAGGGACGGACCCAGAATTTTTTTCAAATGGTGACACCATTTGACTATAAGAAAAAATTATAGCGAAAAAATTTCAAACAGTCGCACCAGTTGACCATAAGAAACAAATATACGAAATTTTTTTCAATCGGTGGCACTATTTGACTAAGAAAATGACACTAACAAGATTTGAATTTGGGTCTTGAGTGGAATAAAAGTCTTGCAAACCAACTCTACCAAATAAAATTTGTTCTCATTGTAGTTTCAAAATACTTACGGTGGCACACAACAGATTAATACGGTTGCATTTTTCACGAACCTAAATTTTTTTATCCTTCGACGGAAAAATAATACGGTAGCACTTGGCACTGTAACCACCATGGTAGGTCCGCCCATGATGGGAAACAATGAAAAACCCAAACCAACGCCAAGAAGAAAGTTAAAGATTCTTACAAATAGGAATTAAAATTAGGAAAGAAATTATGATACATTTACGAAAAACTAACTAGTTTTACACCAAGGATAAAAATCACCTGTCTCAAATGGCATGTCTCATTCACGTCCACCGATCATATGAATACATGTAAACAGAGAGAGAAAGTACATATGAATTAAATAAATCTAAAATAAATGAAAATCTGATGTGTTAAATTTCATTGGTGGGACAAGAATGAGACATGTGATTTTTATCCTGGAAATAAAAGACGACACGGGTAAACATATCTAGCAGAAAATGCATATAATACATAAGAGGGGTATTGGGTTCAAATTGGCCTAACACAATTTCAACTCAATACCTACGGTTTGAAGATTTTACAACTCGATTAAATATACATGGAGAGAAAGAGAGAGAGAATGTGATGATCAGTGGTGAGTTCGCATAAAGCTCCCTTTAACCTTGGCCCAGAGTCGTGAGACAAATCCCTTGGCCCGTGGCGAGTCTCGGATCTTTGAGCTTAAAACCCGGTTTTTTATATTTGTCGTTCCACAGATTCGTCGGACCTGCAGCTTCGAGTAGAAAGCAGCAGGAGATGCTGACTTCAAATAATAAGAGTAAGGAGACAAGGGGCTGTTGGAGCCTTTGATTGCCCGGTTCAGTTGTTTTGAGATCGCTCGGAATTCGTACGAGTCGTACAGGTTGCTTGCCGGAGTAGTGGTGGCGATCATGGTTGCGGTGGCTGAGGGTGGCGATTTTTCCATATTTGGTGATGGAGGAGCTGCGGCCACTGGTTTATAGTTAATTAGTTATGAAAATTGTCAACTGTTGTCATGTCATGTGTTTATGCTTTGAAAGTAACGTGGAGTTTTGTTGCTTCCAAGAAGGATTACATAGTTTTTTACGTTTCCTTCTTTGACATTTTATACTCTCTCTTTTTTTTAAGTTTTGAGATAATGCGGATGAAACTCTCTAAGGGACAGTTTACCAAGTCACTTTACTTTATCGAATGAATATGACAAGGGCTAACAGTTTACCGGGTAAATTGTTGCATACGATACCGTTTTAGTGAACTAAAATCTTACTTGGTAAGTAAATAATAGTGTTAAATTTTACCGGTAAGCACTTATCGGATAAGTGTTTGGTAAACGACCCCTTAGTTGATGTTCGAAGCTTGGGGTTTTTGTCACCGGAACCCAACTCTTCTAACAAAATACTTCTTATAAAAAAATTATACTATTAAACGTAAAATAAATTAATTTATTATTCGACCTAAATTAAATTATCATTATTATTCGACCTAAATTAAATTATCATAAAAAAATTAAACTAAAAAATATCTTTATAGAAAACATTATATTATTAAACCTAAAATAAATTACTTCGTTATTAAATCTAAATTAATTTGTAATAAAAAGTTATAAAAGAAAGAGATTTTAAATTGTAAATTTGATACTAATATCGATATAAATATTTATAAGCTCTTCAAATTTATATTTATTCAAATATAAAAACGTTATCGTTTCCCCAAAACCATACAAAACTGTTTTATAAAATAAACAAAGATAAATAATAAAACAAAACATTAAAATCGATATATATTCTTACTGCATTGCACTAATACGCTTCTAGTAATTTATAAAACATAGTTTTTTTTCAATAAACTTATTTATCGTTTTAAACATGTGTTAGAAATATGCAATGCAATTGCATATATATCCTTGCAGTCATAGGTGATCTCATTGTCACCTACTATGCAATTTTATTTGCATGGGGGTGTATACAACATTCTAATCATTTTGCAAACCAAAAACTTAGGGGCCGTTTACTTAAATGTTTACTCGGTAAGCGCTTATCATTAGAAGTCAACGTTATAATTTATTTTACTGGATAAGATTGTAGTACATCAAAATGGTATTGTATGCAACAATTTACCCGGTAAACGCTTACCCAGAAAAGAGTTGTCACATTCACTTTCCGAGTAAGACTATTCATTCAAAATGAGAAATTTTAATATTTTTTTCATTCAAAAACCAAAAGTTTAGCGACTAAACCATTCAAAATAGGAAAGTTTGTTGGTTTTTTTTTTTTTTGGATTTTTTCCTAATTTAAAAAGTGGTTCAATTCATCTATTTAATCTCATCTATCAGATTAACTCATCTTCGGTTGAGATCTATTTTCGTATTTTTATAGATTAAGGTGCCGTTTACCAAACACTTATTCGGATAAGAACTTATCAAGTCATTTTACTTTATTGAATAAATATGACAAGGACTAAAAATCTTATCTGATAAAAACTAAGACAAGAATCGAGAGTCTTACCTGATAAGTGAGGACGAAGACTCTTACCATGGTTATAAGCAATCCCAAACACCCTCTCTAAGGAGTGCATTTAAAGTTTCAATGCCAGCCTGGCATGAAGTTTATGTTATCAGAGTATCCACAATAAAAGGTTGCTATAAGTAATTATAAGTTATCAATATGTTTTAGGGCCGTTTACTGAAGGCTTATTCGGGTAAGCACTTACCAAGTTACGTTACCTTACCGGATGAATATGTTAATGACCAAGAATCTTACCCAACAAGAGAGAAACAAGGACCGAAAGTCTTACCCGATAAGTAAGAGTGACAACTCTTACCAGTTAACATGGTCAATGCTTATCGGATAAATTGTTGCATACGATACTGTTTTCGTGAACTAAAATCTTACCCGGTAAGTAAGTGATAGTGTTGAATTTCACGGGTAAGCGTCCACTAGGTAAAGTGATTAGGTAAACGGCCCCTTAATTTCTTGGTTTTGTAAATATATTTTGATTTATATATTCACATTAAATTTAATAAAAAGTGGTTTTTACAAGTCACTACCATAATAAAGTTTTATGAACGTTATTAATTTGTTAAGTGATCAATAATGTGACGAAAAATGTGTAAAACTGATGTTCTCATAAACAATGTTCAAAAAAGCTCGCACTACCAAATGGAGGACTTTTTCCGACGGATTTTGCCTGCCGGAAAAAGCGGCACCGGTGATTATTTTTCCGGCCGATTTTTAGCTTTCCGACGCAAAACGACGGCCGAAAATACGTCACTTATTTTTTGAATTTATTTAAAAAATATTTATTAAATTAAACAATTTAGTAATCGGATTAACTTCACGCAATATTCCGCCTCTAACCATTAAATACTTTTTAAATCAACTATTTTTTTGAATTAAATTATCGGTGGAATTATCCGCCGCTAAATTTATCCGTCGGGAATATTTTAAATATTTTTTGGTGGATTTTTTTCGTCGGAAAATCATTCATTTCCGGAAAATGCATTTCTTGTTTCTATAAAAAAAATTTGTAAATTCTATAAACATGAAAAAAATGTTAAAAAC